TAAGACATTAACAGAGAGAAATTGAAAGCTTACAAAAAAAGAACATGTTGCCCAGTATAAGAAATACCTCACCAAGGTAAGCATTATATTTTAACTCCCAGAAAACACTGATACCTCACATTGCATTCTATAAAATTAATAATTTTAAGAACAAACTTAGTGAACAGAAATGGCACAAAAAAGAAAAAAAAGTTAAATTGGATTATAGCACCTGTTTTTCTATTTGCAATTTGATCCTGTCATTCTTTTCGCCAAGAAATAATTTTCTCCTTAGCTTTTATTATAGTATGTTCAACAACTATAAACCCTCAAGGCTTATATAAAAATATAATAAGTAAAATGGTAATTAAAAGTCAGAAGCAACCAGGAAATGAACACTTACTTTAAAAAAATAATAATGCTTCCATAAGTCTCTACGTTTGTGGATACCTCTTTCTTCCCACTTTATCGATAATTTCTTTCCTTTTTGGTCAAATGTAGGATTAACATATTTTGATCTGCCTCTGTTATATTCTTGATAAAACTGTTATTATTAGAGTTTTAATACATTACTACTTTGAGTATGTTGCCAAAAACAGATTGGTTATTTATTAGTCTTAAAAAAGTACAACTCTACACATTTATATTTGGTTACTCTAGGAAATCTAGAAGAAGCAAACACTTGGAATAAATCTGAGAAAAACCTACCAATTCAACACTTTGAAATACATTCTGGTATTAAAAGACTCATGAAATTGTAAAGCTAAATGTTCATTTATAATGAAAGCAACATTTCACATAGTGGATTTCTAGACAAGTAAAGCTTATCCATAGAAGTATACAGATCTGAAAAACGGTAAATCATTTTTCATGAAATTCACTCTAAGATGTATTGACCCATTTACTGAAGTCTCAGAGTATAATTAATATAGTTTAAGCTATTTATGATAACCCAAATTAATCACACCAGACAGGAATTATAATACTGCTTGCCCTATGATATGCCAGCATTCTATATCCACCAGTAAATGCCATTCTGATTATCTGACATTTTGATCATCAGCAAAACAGTTTACAAGCTGAGGCTATCTTCAAGTCAGTTATTAATGACTGTTCATAACACATTTCAATATGCATCTATTTTCCTGAACTACCTTTGCAATTCTGCTGTACTTTCTTTCATTCCCCATCCTCTCCTTTCCTTTCTCCTATGGGCATGAGAAAAATGTCCATTTAATTTAACACTAGTTTAAATGAAACTGAAGACTATTATGATATAAATCTCTATATCTACTTATATACAGATGAAAGTAATTTTTCAGTTGTCTGCATATTAAAACTTAAAATATTTTACTGTATCATAAAAGTTCAACACTTAAGACTGTTTAAGAAGCAGCTGATAAAATGGAAGGCAAGGAAATATACCTACATATAAGAACATGGAATTATTATCACTGGTAAAGGCTTTAAGATACACAGTATATATCCCTTAACTAAACACACAAATAAACCGGTTCAAGCTCCTACAGCTAGTTAGTGGACAAGCCAAAAGTAGCATCAAGATTTCCTGGCTCCAATTATTTGGTCCACTACCTATTACTAATGTTTTTACTTTTTAAGATTTTTTTTCATTTTTAATTATAGCAAAATACACCTGATAAATTTTACCATCTTAATACTATTAACATTTATGCTTGTATTTAGGAACAAGGAAAGGCAGTATAAAAAAAACATCAGAGCAGCAAAGCAGAACACACTGTCACCATGTAGATATGAAATCTTAACATTCCATTTTAATTAGAGACATGTAATATTTAGATCGACAGTTCTATGAGAAAATGTACCCTTTCTTCCCACAAATAGCATGTACCACCCACTGCTTGAAGGCCCATTCAGGAGAAAGGACAGCTGTACCATACCATGTTTCACTTGTTTAATAGGAAACTCCTACTAAATCTCTCCCAACCACGTAAGACTCATCTATGAAAATGAATACATAATAATATATGACAGGGAAAAAAAAGTACCATCCAACAACAGGCATCAATCACCAATTAAAATATTTCCCTTAATGAGAACAGCTCTTACGGTTTTACAAATACTTGCTGGTGGCATCATCCCAACGGTAAAAGGTTTTCTTGGTTCTAACCTTCTCTTCCTTTCATCGTGGTCTAAGCACAAATGTACTAAAATCTATCACTATATTGAGATATAAAGAGATTCACTTTGCAATGTCCTGTTTCTTTACTGTTTCAGATAATGTTACCAAGTATGACTCATTTTTTCCCACCCACTTCCTTATTTAAACTTTCTCTGCTCGAGAGTCAGTATTTAAAATTAATTTCCCTAACTGGAAGAAAATAAACCATTGCCTCCTTGCATATTTTGGATTTTTTTTTTTTTATCGTCAGTGAAAATTGTACCATAAGGTTAAGTCTTACTTCAGTTAAAATTCTCAATACCCAATCAACACTTTTTCTCTATTTTAGCAAAAGTCCTTTTAAATTGGCTGGGTGTGGTGGCTCAAGCCTGTAATCCCAGCACTTTGGGAGGCTGAAGTGAGAGGATTGCCTGAGTCCATGGGTTCGAGAACAGCCTGGGCAACTTGGTGAGATCTCATCTCTACAATAATTCAAAAAATTAGCCAGGCATGGTAGTGCAAGCCTTGGAAAGCTGAGGCAGAAGGATCGCCTGAGCCCAGCAGGTGGACGCTGGGGTGGCTGTGAGCATTCCGCTGCACTCCAGCCTGGGTGACGGAGTGAGACTCCGACTCAGAAAAACACACAACAAAAAAAAAAGTCCTTTAAAATTCCTGCTTAGGTTAATGCCCATTAAGGCACAGCACCATAAAAAATCCTACATAGATTAAGACTTGGATTTGTCATTTACAAATATTTCTAAAATTGTTAAATTTTCAGTTCAACTCTCCTATGTAGTTACTAACAATCAATAAGAGGGACTAAACAATGGAAATGTTTTTCTTGTCTTCAGAGGTATAAATGGCTTTCTAATTCTAGGGAAATTTGTGATGATGCTTATGTTGCATCTTTTATCCAAGGAACTCCAAGTACTTTGCAAAAGACATATTTATTAATACACCCAAATCACTATACTAGCATGATTTAAAAAAAAAAAGTGCAATGGCCTCATTAGTGGAATGACACAAAAATTTTAGCTGTAGTACAGGTAAATTATGAATACATTTCACCTGCAAACCAGCTCTTTGTTAGCTGATATTTTGCCCTTGGGCAGAAACACTATCCAGACAGCTGATCAAACTACTTCCCTTTTTAAAAGGGATATGAATGTTTAGTTCGCTACAGTCCCACCAATTTACTGCCCACGGCTGCTGGATTCATTAACATTTCTTCCATTTAGCCATTTAAGTTTGTGACATGTTGCTTCAGGGACACAACACCGGCTGGAGAGTCACAGCACGAGGGGGTGTGAGCTATTATTGATTACAAAAAGCAGAATGACCTTGAAAAATCACTTAAGCTTTCTGGAACTGCTTCTTTTTCTATAAAGGAATTGCTGAACTAACATGATCTTTAAATGGCCTTCTAAACTCAAAGACCAGGTCATTTATTATTGGACATTAATTAGAAATTTTTTTAAAAATTAGAAGCCTAAAAAAAGTTATAATCTGTGAATAATTTCATATTTATGTCCTCAAAAGTAACATTCACTAATGGTAAGTTCATCTGATAGGCCAACTATTTATTCTATAATGCTTGATTAGAAGCTTCTGGGGAAAAAAAAGATTAGACAATTTCTTCATGTTTAGCTTATAAATATTAGGGACACAGAACCAACGTCAGAGCAGAGAACATATTTCTATGTAAAAACAATACGTTTGTGGTTTTCCTATAGCAAAGTCTCCACACTGTTCTGACTCTTGAAGTTATAATAGAGATATCAACAGAAACTACACCAAAAAAAAAGAAAGAGAAATATCTCCTCAAAGTGTAAAGGAAACACTCATTAGCAGTCAGAGCTTGAGAATAGTTTAATTGCTGGTGTGGGTGATCTGATTCACTCATTTCACAGGTGTTCTGAAATACAAAAGGGACCCAAAAAAACCGGAATTTTTTTCTGGTGGGCAGGACCTCTTGTAGTACAGGCTTTTTGCACTAAGTAAGTGTTCTAGGAAGCCATCAACATCAACGTACCAGCCAGTGTTATTGTGAGATGCTGCATCTGGCTTCAGTGAATTACTTTTTGGAGATTATTTTTCAATGCATTTGCCCATTTCATGATGGGTAATTTACAAGTGTACTTGCCCACAACACACTGATTGTTAAGAAGCTTCTGACCAAAAATGACATGACCTCCGTGCCCCACCCTTCCTATTGGTCTAATCTTGCCCTGAGTGACCTTGTGTTTCCCTGATGAAAAAATTCCTCAAAGGGAAATGCTCTGCCGTTTTGCTGATGTGGAAGAGGTAAAACAAAAAACGAAGAAGCACTAAAAGGTGTCAAAATTGACAAGATCAAAAACGGTTTTGAGCACTGGAAAAAGCATCTTAATAGGTGTGCTGCATCAAACAGAGAGTACTTTGACGGTGACAAGTTTAAATATGTAAGAACAGGCCAGGCTCGGCAGCTCAGTCTGTAATCCCAGCACTTTGGGAGGCCAAGGCCAGTGAATTGCCTGAGCTCACCACAGGTTTGAGACCAACCTGGGCAACTTATGAGACCTCATCTCTATAATAAATCAAAAATCAGCCAGGCAGGGTAATGTGTGCCTGTAGTTCCGGCTACTTGGAAGGCTGAGACGGAAGGATTGCTGGAGCCCAGCAGGTCAACGCTGGGGTGGCCATGAGCGTGCTACTGCACTCCAGCCTGGGTGACACAGAGTGAGACTCCAACACAAACATAAATAAATAAATAAATAAGAATATACAATTTGTTATAAATAAATTCTGTTTTCGTGTGTGTCCCCCTTAGAAAGGGATTTTTTAAGACAGCAGTAGGATAGGCACACTTTCCCCCTCCTTGGGAGCTAGTCTCACGCTCTACCTTCATCTCATGCTGCTGGTCCAGCTGTTCCAGTTCCAGCGGGCTTTCTCCGTTTTCCCTCTCTTGTATCTTGGCTTCTGTTTCTGCCCCTCCCTCTCCTAGGCAGAGCACTGGGCCTACGCCTGGAGTCCTGCAGCTGCTGTCGGAAGCATTTCCATCACAGCCATTTGTGGTGGGTGATGCAGGGCCCACGGCAGTTTCATCTCCTTCTCCGTTCACTATGTGCGTATCCAGCGAAGATTCAGAAGTTTGAACAGGTGTGTCTGGACTAAGAGTGGCTGCTTGGTCCTCTTCACATTCCATCTGATTTTGTGCTGCCATTATGCCATTGGCCACACAAGTATGTGCGTTCTGAGTCTGATCTGTATCATTCCCCGGCTTCTGCGGTGGGTGCTGGGAGAGGAGTTTTTGCTGAGGTGTGGTTGTCAATCCATGCCTTCCTGGAGTTCTAGGAGCATTGAGGTTCATGGCAGAATCTTTCTTCAAATCACTATAATTTGATAATGTGCTAAAAAATAAAATACAAAGGAAGCGTGAAAACAATGGAATGGAAAAGTTCTAGAATAAAAACAAGCTCATTCCAGTTGAAAGGGACATTTGTGGTTTTTTTTTCCTTTTCTTTTCAATCTCTAATGGATTTAGAAACATGAATTTGAATATTCTCAATGTTGTTCCCAGTCTCTTGGGATGCTACCCAGTTATTTATTTATTTTTTTGAGAGACAAGGAAGGGCTCACTCTGATGCCAAAGCTGGAGTGCTCTGGTGTGCTGGTATCTTACTGCAGCCTCCAACTCCTGGGTTCAAGTGACTGTCCACATTTAAATCAAAATTTAAATAAAGATGATCAGCCTGAGCTTTACCCAGAGCATGTGGAACATTCTCTTGGGCTATTTAATAATGTGACTAGTTAGTAAAGACACAGAGGTAAGAAATACTTATATCTAATAAAAAACCTTCTCTTCCCCAAATTTTAACTTATTGATGTTTCTTAACATTCTAAAAATAGGAATAGTCAGCCCTTAATTTATGAACAGGTTATAAAACAAACACCTACTTTTATTCTCAAAAACTTTTACTATCCATCCTTTTAACTGGTGTCTTCTTTTCCATTCTCGATCCCTTCCAATCCAGTCTCTACAAGTCAGTCATAGAGATCAAAACTCTCTAAGGGATTCCTCACACGCTAAGGAGAAACGACTTCCTGATGACAGCCTAGGAAACTCTCCATACTCTAGTCCCCATTGCTCCAGCCTTATTCTATTTCCTTCTTTCCTAACTCACTCTGCTCTTGCTATACTCCTTGCTGTTCCCCATTCCCAATTGCAAATGTATATGTCTTAGGGTCTACGCAGCTGTTGTTCTCTGCCCAGGGCAATCTCCCCCAAATATTACATGGCTTACTCCTCATCATTCAGGTTTCTGCTTACATATTACTTCTTCAAAGAGGCTTTTCTAGATTCATCTATCTATAATGGCACATTCCATCACTCACTCTACACCTTTTTTTAAAAAGTGCTTATTACTACTTGACATTATATGTAGTCCTAATAGTACTAATAAGAGATTGGAACCTTATTCCCAGTAAATGATAATGTTCTTGTGGAAATATTTGTTTTTTTTTTTGAGTTGGAGTCTCATTCTCCAGGCTGGAGTACAGTGGCATACTCCCTGTCACCGCAACTTTAACCTGCTGGGCTCAGGTGATCCTTCCGCCTCAGCCTTCCAAGTAGCTGGAACTACAGGCACGTGCCACCATGCCCAGCTAATTTTTCTGATTTATTGTAAAGATAAGGTCTCACCAAGTTGCTCAGGCTGGTCTCGAACCCACGGGCTCAGGCAATCCTCTTACCTCGGCCTCCCAAAGTGCTGGGATTATAGGCATGAGCCACTTGCGCCCGGCCTGTATAACATTTTAATCTAGGATTCCAGGAAGGATGGGGGAGGGAATGGGACAAAAACTTTGGGCTATGGTCTTTGAGCAATTTCTGTATTCTAAATGAGGAGAAGAAACAGAGATGAAAACTTTGTGAGGGTATAGATTTTGCTGTCTTGTTCACTGCTTTATTCCTACCTTTTAGCACAGTTCTTGACATGGGAAGTACTCAATAAATATTTGATGAAATATGAATAACTCTGATGATGATTGTGACAATAATAGCAGGTAACACTTATTAAGTGCTTACTAAGTACCACAAGCTATGCTAAGAGCTCTTTACATTGATTATCTTGTTTCATTCCCACAATAATTACAAAAAACAGGGAGCCCCATAAATAGAGAAATTTCAGCATAGAACATTACAGAATGTGGCTAGTGTCACATAGCTAAAAAGCAGGAAAGTCAGAGGTCAAACCATGCAGTCCAACTCTAAGTCTCATGGACTTCAACCCACATCATAATATATTGGGTCAGAAGGATAGAATGAGGACCAGGTAGCCAGGTTCAGTGGCTCAGCCTGAAATCCCGTGCCTTTGGGAGGTGGAGGTGAGTGGATTGCCTGAGCCCGTGGGTTTGAGACCCGCCTGGGCGGTGAGACCTCATCTCTACAGTAAATCAAAAAAATCAGCCGGGCGTGGTAGCGCATGCCTGTAATTCCAGCTACTGAGAAGGCTGAGGCGGAAGGATCGCCGGAGCCCAGCAGGTTGAGGCTGCGTTGGCCGGAGGCGGCCACTGCACTACAGTCTGGGCGACAGAGCGAGACTCCAACTCTCAAAAAAAAAGAATGAGGACCAGGTGAATAGGATGCAGGCAAAATATGGGGACAATGGGCTGGTACCTTCCACAATGCAGGCTGGGAGGTAACAGGAGAGGGATGGGGAGGCGTGGGAAGAGGAAACAGCAGCCAAGTCCCAAGGACATTTTGCTGAGATGTGCCTTGCCTTCTCTCTTCACTCCACCCTTCCCAGTCCCTGCTGATCTGGACAGGAGAATGGACACCGGAAGTAACGATAGACAGCAAGAAAGTGATGGAAAGGAAAAAAGATAAGGTAAGGTCCAGTGCCACAGGAAGGGAGGGAAAAACTTAGCAGGGGGAAGTACCTATGTGTAAAAGTTGGAGGTGGGTCATATAAATGTCACACACTCTGCCCTTGATATCTGCAGTTTAGAATAATATAGCTTTGGCCTGTATGATTTCCCAAGCAGTCCTTGGAGATTTCAATCAAATTGTCCTCCTCTTCCTGCACACATCAGTGTCTAGTGGAAAGATCTTTAATAGATTCTCTGAACCACACTTAAGCATGCCCAAGTCTTTTCTAAAGAAATGCTTGGAGTGAGAACTGGAAAGTAATTTCCTATAGTAAGTCATATCATGGGTATATATATGGTGGGGTAAGGGCAAGGTGGGGAAGGTTTCAGTAAAAGCAGTAGCTGAGCCAGTACTTAAAAGATTCCTGCTGCTTTGTGGATACCAACCATGAAAGAAGACAGGTGACTCTGCAGTTTTTTCTTGGGAAAATACAATGTTCTGGTTTGTAGAAAAAAGTTATTTATTTCTAAAATCTTGATGTCTTTCCTATGTTAAAAAGAATATTCTCTCTTACTCTGAGAGAAAGAAAAAAAAAGAGAAGGAAAGAGGAAGAAAGGAAGGCAAGGAGGGAGGGAGAGATACAGGGAGGGAAGGATGGAGGGAAGGATGGAAGAAGGGAGAAAAGGAGAAAGGGAGGAAAGGAAACCATGGTAAAAAAAAAAAAATCGAATCACTCCATATCTCTCAGCTTAATAAAAGTGTCGCCTGGATTTTTGACTAGAGCAAACTATAATACTTAGGTAAAATCTTTTTTTTTTTTGAGTTGGAGTCTCACTCTGTCGCCCAGACTGGAGTGCAGTGATCGCTCCCGGCCACCGTGCCTCGACTGCTGGGCTCGGTGATCCTTTCCGCCTCAGCCTTCCAAGTAGCTGGAACTACAGGCGCACGCTACCACGCCCGGCTCATTTTTTTTTTTATTTATTTATTGTAGAGATGAGGTCTCACTAAGTTGCCCAGGCCAGTCTCGAACCCGCGGGCTCAGGCAATCCACTCACCTCAGCCTCCCAAGGTGTGGGATTACAGGCTGAGCCACCAAGCCCGGCTGGTAAAATCTTAACAGCAGTGTGTGATGACCGTCTGTGACCATCCTGACTAAACGTGAACAGATGCTGGTTCTTCCCGTCAATTTCCTGTGGTAACTCAGAGCCTGGTGGTCTCCTTCTTTTTTACAGTGCTAATTTAAGCTCTGACAACAAGGGGTTAAAATGAAAAAACCACCCCTTCAGGCTCATGGACATAACTCAACGGTAAATACAAATATCCCACTAAAGTCTAATAGATCCAATGTAATATTGACCCACTCAGACACTTTTAAAGATCAGTCTGTAGTGTTAACACCTCACTAAGAACACATCATTGTTTTTCATATTGGCAGTGGACTCCATCACAAATAATATTTCTTCATCAGACTTTCCAAAACACTTAAGAGTATACCCTATCTGCACTCAGAATAAATTTGCTTAAAACATCAAAAGTATATTACAGCACATCTCGCCTTCAATTAAACCTTGAAGGTTTGCATTAAAAAAATAACATTGAATTTGTGATGCTTGAAAGGGTTAAAAAAAAATCCTGATATTATTAAGCACTATGAATATTTCATGTGTAGAGCAGAATCCAAACAATACAAAAAATGGGTTACCAACATGGTGAGGATTAGAGGATGCAGCCTTTGGAATACTGACCTTTTCAAAGCCTCACAAAACCACCCCTGAAACCTAGGGACGCAGGCTCAGGCATGCACTATGTCAAGGGTCAGGGCTCCAGCCTTTACGTATGCAGTTACTGGGCAGAAGCCCTGAACTCTGCACAAAGGAGGGGCCACTCTCTGATGCTGATAAATCAACTTACCCTGAACAGCAAAAAATGTTTTAAAGGGAATTAAACGCTCCTACTTCAGAGGAGATGTTGAAGTTGAAATATTTATGATCAATGTTCCCATAATTTATCAGGAATGAAAATAGGCTTGTAAGTTAATTTTCTCCAGAACTTGTAACTCAATATAGATCCATTTAAAAAATGAGGAACACTGCAGTTTTGTGCCTGGTCACAATTTCCAGAAAAAGCTCAAAGTATTTCTAAGCTATGATTTCATTATATAAATAACAATGAATCTTGCAAATAAATAATAAAACTACCTAATGGAATATCATTCCCAAATATTACACTGGAATGAATGAAAAACGATTTGGCTTCCAGGATAAAAGTGAACTAATACACTGTTTAAATAATACTGTTCTATGTATAACAGTTTAATTATACATGGACTAGCCGGGCTCGGTGGCTCAGCCTGTAATCCCACGCCTTTGGGAGGCTGAGGTGAGTGGATTGCCTGAGCCTGTGGGTTCGAGACCCGCCTGGGCA